TATATAGAATATTATTTAGTTCACAGACTATGATTAAATACCTGCCCTTCTGATCCGCTTCCAAGGAGTGAAGGGAAAATGAGACTAATCGCTATCAGAACTCCTTTCTTTTTTTCTGTATAGATATGAGGGAATAGTCTATGTGAGCATTGTGGCGCTTTAAATGCTGATTATGTACCGTTGTAGTTTCTGTGCTTCCTTCTACATCATTTGTCGATTGAAGAGGCTATTAAGGCCATGAACATTCATAGAGACTATCTTCAAGACCATTTTAGACTATAAAAGAATTGAGGTGTATTGTCACCGTCTATTGGCCTGAAGGAGTAATACATGGGCCCTGATTTACTAAGACGTGAGTCTACTAGCAGACTCTGACCATTCAGGCAATCTAATTGACGAACGTCTACTTTGCTATTAGTAAATGTGGAATCGTGTCTGGCACATTTTTAGGTGCAATACCGGATATGTTCGCTCATCCAGCACAAGCATGGGCTTTATAGCGTTGGCGTTTTTGTGTTAGCAAAAGAGAATATTTAGAATGTAACAAATAGTACACCTATATTAAAATTGTTTTTTTTGTTTTGTTTTTTTGCTGTTTCTCCAAAATGATAAGACAACTAATGCATTTACTAATGAATGTCATACATTCTATTTTCAAATGTTAAACATTTTCACACTTATATATCAAATAATTTGGATACTTCTAATTTCCCAATATAATGATATATTTTCTTTCTCTTTAATCACGTAACTATTCTATGTTAAAGTCAAGTGCAGCGCTATAAATGCATGTGATCAATAATGAACGCATGTAAAAACCAAAAAGTGCAAAGAATTGCAATAATGATGTAAAATGGTAAATGGTGCTAAAATAAGTTCATATAATTATTCCTGAATAATGGAATGTCCTTCGTGTGAGAGTACCAACTCAGGGAGTGCCTATGAATGGCACGTGTGGTTTCTCCGTGACGGACAGTAGTGCATGAACTCGTGAAAGATAAACCACCCTTGGGACTGGTCTACACTCACCAGAGCAAAAGTATTAATGCGCATGGGTTATACACATCACACATCTGGGGGTGCAGCGGTATGCTGGCAGCTATGGGTTAGTCATCCAGCTCCAGCCATCCATCCATCAGGGTGGGTGCCCAAATGGTCCTGGGGAGGAATTAGCTCAGCCACAGGAGCCAGAAAGGTGCTTAATAGTGTAGTACACTGTCACAAGGGTGGATGACCTTTCACGAGTTCATGCACTACTGTTCGTGGTTATATTTATCTTGTGTAATACCATTTTAGTAGTCTATATAATTTGACCAGCGCTCGCTTTATCATTTTTAAACAATGTAACTATTCTACATTGTATCTCAAACTGTGTCTCCCACAGTGGTTTAGTGGTTAGAGCTCAGAACTTACAGCGCTTGGGTCATGGGTTCTAATCCCAGTCATGGCTGCATCCCAGTTTGCATGCTTTCCCTGTATGGATGTGTTTCTGCCAACACTTAAAAGACATGCTGTTAGGTGCATTGGACCTTGTTACATGGCTGAGTTTCTGCCCTTAGATTATAAGCTCCTTGACATTTATGAATGTTAAAAAAATGGAGATCAATTTTCTGGGTTGTGTCAGTGCCAGGAATATTGATCAATCAATTATGATTTTGCCTAATGACTAGAAAGTGGATGAATGTTACCTGCGTCCTGTTCTTCTGCCAATTATAGGAAATGTGCAAGTTTCATGCTGTGTATATTTCATTGTAACTTTTTTCTCTTCTTTTAAATCTGTCTCCTTATACAACTTGACCCCCTCCCCCACCCCATCATCACCTGTCCCATATGCAAATCTATGGATCACCGCCCCACTCTTTTTAACTATTTACTGATCAAGTGAATGTGTCTCATTTTCTATCAGCTACAGCTCAGATCTCACATTATTATACGATTGCTGATTGTATATCACCACTAGTCTGATTGAATTCACAATCCCTGGTCAGTCCCGTTCCCTTACCTCTAATAATCTTTAGGACCAGTTCACACTACATGTGTTTCAGTTGCTTTTTCGGCATCACAAACGCACAGAAAGAAGGTTATATGGTTGTCAATGTCATAGTTCACATCAGCGCTTGCATTTTCAGTGCATTGCAGGTGCTGTAAACAAAGTTGACCACGCTGCATTGTTTCTGCACAGAACTGTACTGGAACACATTGAAACGTCCCTGAATGTACTAAAATGCACATGTCCCTAATTAAATTGAATAAAAAGAAAGTAGAAAAAACTAACTGGAAGGGATACAAAAATGCAATGCAACGTGTCCAAAACGCATCCAAAATGTACTGAAACACACTAAACATGCATGCCAAAAGGGCATGCAAAAACGCATCAGGAACACATCTAGACTGTTTCTATAGTGTAAACTGGCCCTTAGGACTTGTTCACACCATTGGTGGTGCAGAAAGGCATGCAAGAACACACATTTTCCAGCACAGCAAAGAAATGCAATGCCCTTTGCAGATGTGCACGGTTAGGTGCAACACACTTTTAAAAATAATATGCCTGCAGTATTTTTGCATGTTCCCACACATTAGGCAGGCCATTGAAATTAACGAGCTGAGGAAAAAAAAAAAAAAAAGTAAAAAATGCCCCATTCACACAGGTCCTCTGGCCTGTACAGCATGAATGAGTGGGTTGTTTATGTGGCTAGAGCCACCTGTTACACTATGGGGACACAGCAGCTGTATGAACACAGGTTTTAATCTGACAGGTGTGAAGGCGTGGGGAAGTGGCCCTGAATGCTCACTGTCTGTGTTCAGGGCTGTACACCTGCACCCATATGCTTGTCAAATTATGACCTGCAGCAATTCCATAGTGTAACATAGGTTGCCTGCAAACGGCGATAGCCACAAAAACAAACCACTGATTCCCACTCTACATGCCACAGCACCCATGAGCCCCCCAAAACCTCAATTACACACACAGCTTTATTTATGAACTCAGTACAGTTTTATCATTTAGATTTCACAGGAATATGGTTGGGATTATGTCCATTAATAATGTTTTTAGTGTATTTTTACCATAAATATAATTTGGATATTTTCTCTGGCGGTGGGGGGCTGTCAGGTATGCTGTACGGGGCCCCATGATATCTAACAGTGGCCCTGGGTGTATGCTTGTGTCTGTGCCACCTGTATAGTTAGGAAGAACCTTGAACCTCTGCTATGTACCTCAATGGATCTAGGAATTGGACATGTTTTCAACTGAAAATACAACAATTATTAGTAATGTTTCCCCAGCAAATGAGGATCAGCTCCACGGTGTGAGAACAGCGGTCTCGCCATGTCCAGGTGTGGTCTGGAATTCCACAAAAGAACAATTCACAAAACTAAAAAATAGATTTGCAAATTACCACTAAACTCTCCTAACTACACTCCCATCCACTCACACTCCCCACTTCCACTTCCGGGTGTGTGCAAACGTCCTTCCGCAAACGTCATGATGTATTTCCGGTATGACAGCTGCTCTAGCGCCTCCTCCAACAGCCGTCTTGGCATTTATTTGTGCACCATAGCAATTTTACATGCGGCTCCATTGTGTATATGACATTTGCAAATATGTGTTTGCAGTTCTATTGTAGATTTGGCATTGGTGAATGTATGCTTGCAGCTATACTGTGTATATGAGATTGGCGATATATATTTGCCAGTAAAGGCCCAAAGTCAACATAAATTGGGGGCCCAATTTATTACTGTTAAAAGGATTGTAGAAAAAGAATAGCTAGCTGCACATTGAACACGACTAGAAAATTCGATTCGACTGATTCGGCGAATTCGTGGACAATATTCGATTCGAGTCGAATAAATTCGCTGTGAATTTAACTTAAAAAAGGGTGTTTCTAGGCTTCAGAGAGACTTAATATTAGTGCAGAACACTGTACCTTTAATTTAAATGCCCTTGGAGTCTGCTGGGGAAGAGAAATAATACTGTCACTCAGTATGACATGCAGATGAGTGCCGTCGATCTTAGAATCACCGCACACTTCACTCATTTGGCCAGTCACGGGGCCAAAACCAGTGTTTGGAGCCACAGTGTGGCGGTGGAGGCAGCAGCAATGGGAGGCCATACAGCAACCTATGACAAAATGGAAACCAGCAGGAGTGTGAGGAGACCTGAAAGTGGCACATGGCAGAGTGGGAGCAATGGGAGGCGGTACAGGGACCCAGGTCACACTGTGGGCCCAGCAGCAGCGTGACCAGGCGGTACGGGGGCCCATGGCAGATTTGGGGCCTGGCAGCACCTATGGGAGGCCTGTAACCTGCCAGCAACCTATGACAAAATGGAAAACCGCAGGAGTGTGAGGAGACCTCAAAGTGGCACATGGCAGAGTGGGAGCAATGGGAGGCGGTACAGGGACCCAGGTCACACTGTGGGACCAGCATCAGCGTGAACAGGCGGTACGGGGGCCCATTGCCGATTTGACCTCGTTCATCCCATAGTCCTGCCGACTCACGAATAGCGTGGCCTCCTCAAAGGGCCTGAGCAAGCGCAGGTGTCACGCATGAGCTGCCAATGGCTGACATCTAAGTTACACAGGGAGTACCTTTATCCGCTTTTAACATCAGGAAATCTGTGATGGCCTTTCGCTGTTCGTAAAGGCGGTCTAACATATGTAGTGTTGAATTCCACCTTGTTGCAACGTCACAGCATGAGGAGTCGGTACGGGGGCCCATGGCAGATTACGTGCCTGGCAGCAGCAATGGGAGGCCCGTAATCTGCCAGCACCCTATGTCAAAAAATTGAACACACCAGCAGTGTGAGGAGACCTCAAAGTGGCACATGGCAGAGTGGGAGCAATGGGAGGCGGTACAGGGACCCAGGTCACACACTGTGGGCTCAGCAGCAGCGTGACCAGGCGGTACGGGGGCCCATGGCCGATTTGGGGCCTGGTGGCACCTATGGAAGGCCTGTAATCTGCCAGCAACCTATGACAAAATGGACAACCGCAGGAGTGTGAGGAGATTTCAAAGTGGCACATGGCAGAGTGGAAGCAATGGGAGGCCGTACAGGGACCCAGGTCACACTGTGGGCTCAGCAGCAGCGTGACCAGGCGGTACGGGGGCCCATGGCCGATTTGGGGCCTGGCGGCACCTATGGGAGGCCTGTAATCTGCCAGCACCCTATGACAAAATGGAACCCTGGGCTGGGGCAGGCAGAACCGCCGTATCTTTATCACGTTTTCCCAGGCCACCGAATGGCGACGCTGCATATGCTGACGCAACGCGCTGTAGTCCCAAGATGGGCCCCCTGGCCACGCTTGACTTTCTGGCCACATAGTCGACATACGGCTACGTTTACTTCCTCGGGCGGCTTGACGAAAAATTGCCACACCGCAGAGTAGGAAACTTTGCCTCCGCTACTCCTCACTGGCTGACTGCTACTTCCTCCGTGCACACCGGCACCACTACTGGCCGTGGTGGTAGGCTGCAGTGGAGCTGGTGCTCTACTCCGTGGCCGTTTGCCTCCACTGACACTGCTGCGACCCTGCTGCCTCCTGGCAGCAGCAATGGGAGGCCGTACAGGGACCCATGAGAGACTCTGGACTTGGCAGCAGCATGAGGAGGCGGTATAGGGGCCCATGGCAGATTAGGGGCCTGGCAGCAGCTATGGGAGGCCCGTAATCTGCAAGCACCCTATGTCAAAAAATTCAACACACCAGCAGTGTGTGAGGAGACCTGAAAGTGGCACATGGCAGAGTGTGGCAATGGAGACAGCAGCAATGGGAGGCCGTACAGGGACCCATGACAGACAGACTCTGGACCTGGCAGCAGCATGAGGAGGCGGTATATAGGGGCCCATGGCAGATTAGGGGCCTGGCAGCAGCTATGGAGGCCCGTAATCTGCCAGCACCCTATGTCAAAAAATTCAACACACCAGCAGTGTGAGGAGACCTGAAAGTGGCACATGGCATGAGAGACTGTGGACCTGGCAGCAGCATGAGGAGGCGGTATAGGGGCCCATGGCAGATTAGGGGCCTGGCAGCAGCTATGGGAGGCCCCGTAATCTGCCAGCACCCTATGTCAAAAAATTCAACACACCAGCAGTGTGTGAGGAGACCTGAAAGTGGCACATGGCAGAGTGTGGCGATGGAGACAACCCACCGACTGTTTTGCTCGCTGCCAAGCTGCCACCCTCTTCTCCTGATGATGCGGAAGCAATAGCCTGATGACGACGAGGCTGCCAAGTGCGATCAGCCTCATCATCATCAATTAGGGTCTCCGCCTCACTACTAGCCCCCTCGGCTGCGTGTGGGTCAGGAGACAGACCTGTCTCTACACCGGCTACCGAGCCACTCTCCTTGCCACTACTTCTTCGCCTGGCTGCTGAAGAGGCGGATGTCTCCCCCCGTTCCTGACCCGCCCTCTGTTAGCTCTTCCTCACTGTACTGGATGACACCGGGAGCACTAGCCTCTGGCTGCGAATAGTGCTGCCTCGACCCCTTCCTCTGCTGCCACGTCTGCTCGCTCCTAAAACATTGCCTCCTCTGCCACTCCTCTGCATGTTGTCTGACATACTCTTTAATTAAACAATTCTGTGTCCCTGAGTAACAATTCTGTGGCCCTAAGTAACGGTTCTGTGGCCCTCAGTAACAGTTCTGTGTCCCTGAGTAACAATTTCTGTGTCTGTGCGAGTATCAATTCTGTGGCCCTAAGTAACAGTTCTGTGGCCCTCAGTAACAATTCTGTGGCCCTAAGTAACGTTCTGTGGCCCTCAGTAACAATTCTGTGTCCCTGTGTAACAATTCTGTGTCTGTGCGAGTAACAATTCTGTGGCCCTAAGTAACAGTTTCTGTGGCCCTCAGTAACAGTTCTGTGTCCCTGAGTAACAATTCTGTGTCTGTGCCGAGTAACAATTCTGTGGCCCTAAGTAACAGTTCTGTGGCCCTCAGTAACAATTCTGTGGCCCTAAGTAACGGTTCTGTGCCCTCAGTAACAATTCTGTGTCCCTGTGTAACAATTCTGTGTCTGTGCGAGTAACAATTCTGTGGCCCTAAGTAACAGTTCTGTGGCCCTCAGTAACAGTTCTGTGTCCCTGAGTAACAATTCTGTGTCTGTGCGAGTAACAATTCTGTGGCCCTAAGTAAAAGTTCTGTGGCCCTCAGTAACAGTTCTGTGTCCCTGAGTAACAATTCTGTGTCTGTGCGAGTAACAATTCTGTGGCCCTAAGTAAAAGTTCTGTGGCCCTCAGTAACGTTCTGTGTCCCTGAGTAACAATTCTGTGTCTGTGCGCCCTGGAGTAACAATTCTGTGGCCCTCAAGTAACAGTTCTGTGGCCCTCAGTAAACAATTCTGTGTCCCTGAGTAACAATTCTGTGGCCCTAAGTAACGGTTCTGTGGCCCTCAGTAACAATTCTGTGTCCCTGTGTAAACAATTCTGTGTCTGTGCGAGTAACAATTCTGTGGGCCCTAAGTAACAGTTCTGTGGCCCTCAGTAACAGTTCTGTGTCCCTGAGTAACAATTCTGTGTCTGTGCGAGTAACAATTCTGTGGCCCCTAAGTAACGTTCTGTGGCCCTCAGTAACAGTTTCTGTGTCCCTGAGGTAACAATTCTGTGTCTGTGCGAGTAACAATTCTGTGGCCCTAAGTAACAGTTCTGTGGCCCTCAGTAACAATTTCTGTGGCCCTAAGTAACGGTTCTGTGGCCCTCAGTAACAATTCTGTGTCCCTGTGTAACAATTCTGTGTCTGTGCGAGTAACAATTTCTGTGGCCCTAAGTAACAGTTCTGTGTCCCTGAGTAACAATTCTGTGTCTGTGCGAGTAACAATTCTGTGGCCCTAAGTAAACAGTTCTGTGGCCCTCAGTAACAATTCTGTGTCCCTGAGTAACAATTCTGTGGCCCTAAGTAACGGTTCTGTGGCCCTCAGTAACAATTCTGTGTCCCTGTGTAACAATTCTGTGTCTGTGCGAGTAACAATTCTGTGGCCCTAAGTAACGGTTCTGTGGCCCTCAGTAACAGTTTCTGTGTCCCTGAGTAACAATTCTGTGTCTGTGCGAGTAACAATTCTGTGGCCCTAAGTAACAGTTCTGTGGCCCTCAGTAACAGTTCTGTGTCCCTGAGTAACAATTCTGTGTCTGTGCGAGTAACAATTCTGTGGCCCTAAGTAACAGTTTCTGTGGCCCTCAGTAACAATTCTGTGGCCCTAAGTAACGGTTCTGTGCCCTCAGTAACAATTCTGTGTCCCTGTGTAACAATTCTGTGTCTGTGCGAGTAACAATTCTGTGGCCCTAAGTAACAGTTCTGTGGCCCTCAGTAACAGTTCTGTGTCCCTGAGTAACAATTCTGTGTCTGTGCGAGTAACAATTCTGTGGCCCTAAGTAACAGTTCTGTGGCCCTCAGTAACAATTCTGTGTCCCTGAGTAACAATTCTGTGGCCCTAAGTAACGGTTCTGTGCCCTCAGTAACAATTCTGTGTCCCTGTGTAACAATTCTGTGTCTGTGCGAGTAACAATTCTGTGGCCCTAAGTAACGGTTCTGTGGCCCTCAGTAACAATTCTGTGTCCCTGAGTAACAATTCTGTGTCTGTGCGAGTAAACAATTCTGTGGCCCTAAGTAACAATTCTGTGGCCCTCAGTCTGTCCCTGAGTAACAATTCTGTGGCCCTAACTAAAGTTTCTGTGGCCCTAAGTAACAGTTCTGTGGCCCTCAGTAACAATTCTGTGTCTGTCCCTGAGTAACAATTCTGTGGCCCTAACTAAAGTTTCTGTGGCCCTAAGTAACATTCTCTGGCACTCAGTAACAATTCTGTCTGTCCCTGAGTAACAATTCTGTGGTCCTAATAACGTTTCTGTGGCCCTAAGTAACAATTCTCTGGCACTCAGTAACAATTCTGTCTGTCCCTGAGTAAGAATTCTGTGGCCCTAACTAGCGTTTCTTTGTCCCTAAGTAACGATTCTGTGGCCCTCATTAACAATTCTGTGTCCCTGAGTAATGGTTCTCTGTCCCTAAGTAACGTTTCTCTGTCCCCAAGTATCGTTTCTGTGGCCCTAACTCTGTCCCTAATACAGAGCGGTCTGCCTCTGTTCAATGACTGCAGGCAAATGAAGAATTCCAAAATGGCCGCTATTTATAGCTCGACCATTACACAGTGCTGGCTGGCTGGCTGCTGATTGGCTGATGCGATCACATGTCATTGAGGAATGCATTATGGGTCAGCGCGCCTTCCCAGACATCCCCGCTCCGTCGCCGCACATGTCCGCCGCCATTTTCGGAAAAATTTCGATTCGCGCGTCCGAAGTAGGCTATTTTTCGGATTCGGCGCGAATCGAAATTTTTCCGATATTCGACTCGAATTCCACTTCGGCTACTTCGATTCGCTCATCTCTAAACACGACCTATTCATTGGTACAGAACATGGTCTTGTCTTGCAATAGGGGGCTTTTGGTTTGTTATTTTGGACATACTTGCACATGTGCGCTCTAACAAGGAAGTTTTGAGCATATTATATAGCTAGCAAAAATAAGTGTTAGGGGTGCTAGTATATTTCAGATACTTATATAGTGCTGTCAATTTACGCAGCGCTTTACATATAGATGTGGTAAATTCACATCAGTCCCTAACCCTCAAGGGGAGTACTAAGAGCCCTAACTTACATTCATACATATACTAGCGCCAATTCTGACAGGATCCAATTAACCTACCAGCATGTCTTTAGAGTGTGGGAGGAAACACAGGCACAAGGAGAACATGCAAACTCCAGGCAGGAGGTGCCGTGGCTGGGATTCGAACCAACAACCCTAATACTGCCAGGTGGAAGTGCTAACCATTTAGCCACTGTGCAACATTCAACTAGAACATGAAATAATCCCCCCAAAAAATACATAGTACAAATGTTTATTGATCAAATACACATTCCACATTTATTTGGACAGCAACAAAAAGCTACATTCAATATCTTGGTGTGAAAAAAAAAAAACCACAGGATTGATGTTGCTAAAATAGAACGGTCCTGCTCATAAGAGCTTACAATCTAAAAGATTATACTTATAATGAACTGTGCTTTCACAGGTTACAGCAGGAAACAAACGGTTAATATCACTTGGGCTTATTCACAAAACAAGCTGCAGATCGAAATATCAATACAAAAATACATACGTGCCAAAATAACACCTCCCACCTCCCCAAATCCCCCACACATACATTTCTCACCATGTTTGTCTGAAATCTGCATTTCATTCTAAATAAAGCAAATTTGGAAGAGCAGAGCAATGGACATGTGTTAGGATTACAATGCAAAGATAATAAACACAATCATTGTACAATAACACACAAACACACCTTAGAAGGAAGAACATGCAAAACAATTACAGCCCACATCAAAACACAGCGTGAGTGTGGCCTGGGGCAATTCACCACAATATCTCTTCCTCCCCAAACCACCACAGACAAGGACATGCAGAAATAATGTGCCTGTATAAGGCAAAAATCAGCCACAACTGCATCTCCTTTTATAAGGTAGGCCACACCCACCACTGTCATTCATTTGGTCAGAGAAAGTGTTTGCACCTGATTAAATGCTCTTCCCACCTGCGTTAACCCTTGGTATACAGGCCCCACAAATCAGAGTCAGAAAGAAAGCCACAGTGAAGTGTACCTGTACAGCATACAACAGAACATTGAACAGGGATGTGAAAGGGAACCCTATTGGCAATATTTCTTGGCCCTATGGGCACAATTCACTCCAGATTATCGCATGAGTTAAGGCAGTCACATGACCACATCTCGCATGCAATACTGAAAATGTCAATTCACTTTTGCTAGTATGCGACATTTCCCATAAATAGGAAAAACACTCAGGAAATCAAACAAAAAAGGCCTTACACTGCGGTCACATCAAAGCCGATTTAGAAATTGTGCGACGTACAGTGAAGATGCTGATTTCCTTACGATTTGCAAGACATCTGTCACAGATATCTATGCAAATCGCCACAAAAGTAGTACATGTACTACTTTAGAAATCAGTGTCGGAAACGCACCCATGTGACTGCTCTAATAGCAGACAATAGGGTGCGACTTGGCATACGATTTGCAAGTCACATGCCATGCAAATCGCATGCCAAGTCGCATCCAGGGT